CTACCAACCGAAGTATGCCTATCCCAATTAGACACACAATTCCAAGCACGTCCAGACTTACTTCAACTAACTCAAAATTAAATTGGTGTCTGGACGCTGCGTCGAGTAATTTATGTTCATTTATCAATTTTCGAACGTGTTTTGAATTTTATTCAATGAAAATATAAAAGTACAATATCTCTGATATCAAAACAATCATATGCTATTTACAATATTTATTTCAAAATGAGATGCAAAACTACAACCCTACATGTGGACATCAATTAAAGAAGTGTTAGTGAACTGTTTTGAAATAAACAAAAATGTTATGTAGTTACTAAACTTAAGGGATTTAATTTTACACAAGTAAATTTATTCTTCAGAATAAGAGGTTATATTTTTTTAGTTTTAATACTTACAGAACGTTTTAGTCACTTAGTTGTGTAAAATGAAAATATATTGGTTATAACTAAGAACCAGTGAGTTGCCATGTGTTTTATCAATCATCTATAGGAATGGAAAAATAATATAAGAAAGTTTATTAGTTTAACTCTATTTTAATATTTAATCAAACTTTGACATAATGTTTCACATAAAATAAGCCAAAGGTCAAGTAAAATGTGTGAAAACTAATAAGCCTTAAACTTTAAACTACATGAAAAGCCCATCAAACCTTTAATGGTTTGAAACTTTATTGTTGAACAAACTTTGCTGCGTTACAAATGAACTCTCATTATTCAAGTCAATGCAACTTTCCGCGGAGACAATATTGTAGCCAATAAAGTTCTACTGAGGTGTGATAATTTGCTCATTATTATAAACTTTACTAAAGTCTACATCTTTTACTTTTTTATGCAATGTCAAGTAAGAAAACATATTTATTTTTAACAATAATACATATAAATTACCTTATAAAAAGTATAGAGGTGCACAGTTATAATTTTTACTATCTCCCCTTTACACGAAGAAGTTTATACGAGAAGTATTGTTTTCATCAAAATATTTAAGTTTGATTTTTGGGCAGAAATATTCATTCTGGGTTCCCCTGACCCAAAAAAATGGTTTTCGGAGGGATTTATTTGTTTGGTTGTGTTTTACATGCTTTGTTACAAAATCGAAGCTAATAAATTGTAATTGTAGATATACCCTAAATAGATTATAACAAAACTTAGTTATTAGCTCGTTCACTACGCTAACTCGCCTCCAGGTTGAAGTTCGTTCGCTATGCTCACTCACCTTTTGGTTGCAAATTAGCTGTTGTTGTCATAAATGTAAAAGAAATAATAGTGATGCACCCTGTTGGTAATCCTTGTAACTTTAATGCAATTTAACATCATAGAACAGAACCAACTTGTTTAATTGAAACAGCTGTTAAGATTCATTAATTCCATTTCTCATAAGGTTAACATGGGAAACTCCAAAGCCACTGGGGCGGAGCCAATTGGACGGATCACGAAATTGATGGTGTATAAACCTATTCCATGAAATTCTACACGTATGTACCAAGTTTCGTGGCGATCGGTTCAGCGGTGTCTGAGTTTGTCACTGCCAAACAAATATACAAACATCCTCTTTTATACTTATAGACAAAGATGTTGATTAAAGATAAAAAGAATGATTTTCTACTCATTGATGTAAAGTGGAAAAAAACTATCAAAATAATATTTTATCTTAACAGGTGTTATGCTTGAAAAGAGGAGAATTTTGGTACCTAAATTAAATATTAAGCTGTAAGAGACAGCTTATGCACCTGAAAAGTAACATATTTGTAAATCTGAAAATGACAGTTGTGCTTTTACCAAAATTGTATAATATGTGTACAAAAAGCGACATAACCCATTTACTTTTGTAAACATTTACATATACTTAAATAAAGGTTGATGCATTTTCTGAATAAATAACATTTAGGTAGTAGGATGGCTTATGGCAGCTAGTACGACATATGTTTCTTTTACTTTTTGGTCCTTTATATTAATATAAAATACTTACTACACTTCATTTTGTATTTTTTACTTTCCAACCTAAACAAAAGTCAAATATAGATCAGGAATATGGATCGACCTATATTTAAGGGAAATGTATCTAATATAAATACAACTATGCCATGTTTCAAACTATGTAGCTTCATCATTCCATGCTTCAACTGATAAATTAAAACTAATTTTGATCATGTAAATATTTCTAATAAAATAATTTTAGAAGAACCAAAATCTTTGCGTGGAAGCAATTTAAGGAGCATACTTATTCTGCACATAATTTAAGCTTTAATAATGTTATTGATTATTAATTAGCTAAAATATAGCTTACAAAAAACGGAAATTTAAGAATACTACTATTATTTGACTTTCATTGTGAATTAATAACAATCGTATTTTCCACTTTGTATAAAAACGGTGTTCTTAATTTTTTCGGGTCAAACCCGAGGATTCACAGCTTTTTTAAAAAGTTTACAGTTTTTTTTTTATATCTAATAGTCCTTGCTATATCAGTAATGATTGCTATTATCCTATGCTATATTATAAGTCCTTGGAGCCTAGACGTTCTAGCCTATAAAACTATTACAAAAGTAGAAAAACAATAAATTTCTGATCTCACAGTGCACGAGATACCTATTTAAATTTCAATTACGTTGGTGTTTGAAAAAATATTTTTGGATGATAAATAATCTCTTCAACAGCTGTTTGAAATAATCCAAGATGGCCGCTAGCCTCCGAGGACTCTTAAAATTAGTCGACCATTTCTAGAAAGGTATACCGAAGTATGTATGAGATTGAAATGAGAGCAGTAAAGGCATGCTCCTAAACAATGTAAAGGCGAGATTGAAACTAAAATTAAATTACATTCCAACCTGTTTCAGTAGCATTTCCCGCGTCAAATGAATCAACTAGACTTAATTAAAACATGACTGCTAGAACTATTACAACTGCATCTGTACGGTCTACCTGTATCTTTGCGTTTCTAGAGTTAAAGCGAAATTAAATCACGCAAGAGTATTTTATATTCAAACATTACAGGGGAATTTCATAGATTATATATTAAATTATTACTTACATTATATGAACTCCAAATATGTAATTCAAAAACGGATCTTATATACGTAAATTTCATTATTATATACTTAAGAGTCCTTGGAGCATAAACATTCTAACTCTTAAAACAATAAAAACACTACTATGACAATTTCGAATCCTACATTTTAATGTATATATATTTAAATTACAATCATTTTGGTGTTTGAAAAAATATTTTGAGATGGTAAATAACTCTTCAGCGGCTGTTTGGAATTAACGAAATTAACATTGCTGTAAAGTACACATCCAATATGGTCGTTAGCTTCAAGGAACTCCCTTGTAGAACAATTTAACCTACAACCTATAGTACACCTAAGACACCTAAAGAGACACGACTTTGACAATTTTTTACATAAGAATAACATGGGGATCATTTTTTGGCCACTTTTTCAAAATTCCTTATCTTTGCCTACATATCCCTATATAATTGTCCAACCTTATAAATATGACGAATCCATTTATCCCCTATATATTTTCAAAATTAAGCTTAAAAAGCTAATTCTTTCATTTATTAACCCATGCAGGTGTAAATGTAAAGTAGAGCAATATGACAATATGACGGCACTTGGGTCGTTTTTCCCATAAAAATTACATGTTGGGCTTTTTTAGTCACTTAAAAAAAAATCCTGCCCAGGGCCAATACATCCCTATATAAATGTTCCATACTATTTTTTAACTTTATAAACATTAGAAATCGATATCCATTCCCACGTATAATTTCAAAATCATGCGAGATTTGCATGAGAACTCGGGCGCGCTCACTGCCGCGGACATGGCCATACTCCCCGCTCCCTACCCATGGTCGGGCTTTCCAAACTTCATCTCTTGTTGAAATGATTTATAAATTTGTTTGTTTCTATTTACAAATTTTGAAATTTTACAAAAAGTCTATATACTATATAGAGGTGACATCAGCCCGAGACCTCATTCCTAAACATGAATGAGCAGTCATGACAACACTGCTCCGTGTCGCTCTCCAAAAAAAAAAACTGATTCGCCACTACAAGTTAATACATCAAATGAAGGTGAAACTGTACAACGTTTGTGATTTAATCTGCGAAAGCAACATGGCTCTTAAATCCCAAAAAAGTCTTAAAGTCACAATTTTTGTAAAACAAATTTTGTTGGTCATTTAATAAGACGTATAAATGTTTGCAACTATTGTCCATATACAATGATTAAATTCGTTGGCGAATCGACTAGAACTGAACTTGAGAATACTCTTAAGTCTTGTTCTCTGCCGATAAAATGGACTTTGGTAAGGAGAATCAAATTTATGAAATATCCAATGGATCAAAATGGAAAATTAATTAATGTAAAAGAATGTATTGCAGATTTATGAAGCATTACCATCCTAACCATTAAGAAATGAGATTCAACCTCATATTGTAAATGCTCTTTTAAAGATTGACACATCGATGCAGAAATATCAAGCCCAAGGTAGTGGATGGATGTATGACCATACTAAATATTGACAGTTGCATAATTACAAGTATAACCCCTTAACACCAAAGTCATACATTCCCACACCAGAAAGTATTAAATCGAAACATTCTGTTTTAAATATAAAACATCGGACAATAAATGCTTTACTTTGGTCGATTTTAGCGATTGCGTACCGCAAGGATCTTCAAGCATCAACGGCAGAAATTGTTTTCGGACAACAGTTGAGACTTCCAGGAGAATTGTTTGATCTCTCTGTTGACGGACCCAGGCATGAAGATCTTACTGATTATGTTGTACAACTCCGTCAACACATGTCTTCAATGAGATCTGTCCAAGCTTCACACCATCGCCACGTCAAACCCAAAACTTTTATATTTCAAGATCTTAGAAAGTGCACCGATGTTTTCCTAAGAGATGACCCTGTAAAACGTGCTCTACAGCCTCCCTACAACGGACCATATCCTGTAATTTCTCGTGATGTAAAATCCTTAGTAATATCACAGAATGGCAAACAAGTGTGAGTGAGCTTAAACGGGGTGAAGCCTGCATATGTGTTACCTGACAAATGTAATCATCCAACAATCAAAGAGCCACAAAATATACAATCTTCGAGCACATCCCTCAAACCTCCAAACTATACAACTCGATCTGGTCGAAATGTAAAGCTCAAGCTTCCTGGACTTCCAGTCTCTGCGGGGGGCTGATGTGGCATCAACTTAGCCACAGCTGTGATGCCTTTGGTCTTCACTTTATTTTAATATTTATTATGTTACAGCTGTTGTTAGATTGTTAAAACTGTTTAGTTTTGAACATGTCATGATTCAACACTTTTCTTCATACGTTTGTAAATAAAACTTATCAAAGTTCGTTCATATAGTGGTGATATTATTTCATTCAGATTAAACATCGCTATAGTTTAGTTTGGTTTTAAGCTGGATCAGACTTACACTCAAACAAACAAACACGCATACATCTTGTTACCTATGTTTTAAACTAACTAAAAAAGAAATGCTAAATTAAAGAATAATTATTAAATGAACATCGGTTTTACCATGGCCTTTGATTTCCGTCTCCTTCTCCGAAAATGATAAAATATCAGCTAAGCTTTGACTAATCTGCAACAGAATAATCCCATTTCAGATTGAACAAAATCTTTTTATCCTGATTAATTGTGTAAATGATAAACATAAACATATTGATCACAAAAATTTTGAACCAGCAAGATGGGGTCATGGCAATCTCGTGTTATGGGGTTTGAAATTAATTGACTGTGTAAAGTTGTAGTGTACTTCTGTTTGAAGTTGTAGATCACATTATATAAAAAAGTATCCAGCCAATATTATGAAAAATTAGAGTTTTCATAATCTTTTAAAACATAACGATGCCAAATTTTCTTTGAAACCAGTGGGGCCCAAACTAAGTGTACAAGGAACCGTTGTTGTAGAAATGAATATAACGGAGAAAATAATTAAAAAATCCAATCTATTTTCATTAAGAAAAAGTAAAATGTTGTCGTTTACTTGTTTATGGATATATCTTGATTCAATTTGGTAAATTTATTTATTCAATACCAACCTACATTTCACTGAAAACACCCGTTTACCTGTTATTTAGAAGCAAACCTAATAGTCCAGTCAATGAATGAGGTGTAGAGTGCGTGAGCAGGTAACTAAGCGATTCCTTTAGAAACTTGTTCAGGGTGTTTAGGGTGTTAACATACCAAAAGTCCTAACTCCTAGATGTTGAGCCAGGGGGTGGAGGGGTGAAAGGGGGGCAAAGGTACGCATTTTGAGGTTTTCGATTATATCTCGAAAACTATCATCTTTGTGTATACTAGGCCTATACTAAATTGTAAAGTTGAAGAAGATGAAATTTTCTTCAAGAAAAGTATATAATGTGTTTATTTTGGTTACACCATTTACGAGTTATTACTAACTGAATTAATATCTTAATAAAATACTCCTTCCATAAGAAATACATGTAAATTAGTATGCAAAATGGGGCAAACCCTATCCACCCAAAGGAAATATAACCGATATTCTGTAAATCTTGGTAAAATATCCAGCAATTTGAAACTTTAATCATAAAATTTGGTCAAAAATTAAAGCGAGGGTGAGCACTTAAAACGGGATAATTTTAGTTTTTTCGGTACTTTCCTGTTAAAGGGAACATTAATTATTATCGATGGTTTTTTCTCGATACATCGATATTAACAAATTGAAACATATCAGCTGACAACTACGATAAATATTGTTCAGTATCAACAAACAATAATAAAATGAAACTGATCTAAAAAAATAACCTAACATAACTAACCAAACTTGCTGTAACATTTAATTAACTTGCCTTTTCTGTTATCAAACGGAGTTTTTAAATGGTACGGCAAGTTTGGTTGGTTATGTTAGGTTAGCTTAGGTTAGAACAGTTTAATTTCTTAATCCATATAGTAGACTGTTTTAGCCTAAACAAGATCAGTTAGTTAGTTGTTGTCAATTTGTAATGGATCGGAAAACAAAAATATCGATATATCGAAAAAATCATCGATAATAATGAATGTTCCCTTTAACAGGAAAGTACCGTTTTTTCTTTATGATTAAAAAAAAACACCAAAACATGACATTTTTGTTACCTCGCTCACGCCCTAATTTTGGATCATTTTTTTATTATTAAAGTGTCAAATTACTGGAAATGTTGTCAAGTTTTTAAGAATATCGGTTATATTTCTTTTGGGTGGATAGGATTTGCCCCATTTTGCATACTTGTTTACATGTATTTCTTATGGAAGGAGTATTTTAATAAGATATTAATTAAGTTAGTAATAACTTGTAAATGGTTAAACCAAAGTAAATGCATTATTTACTTTTCTTGTAGAAAATTTAATCTTCTTAAATTTCTTAATTTAGTATTATATACAAAAAGTTGATAGTTTTCGATATATAATCAAAAAACCCAAAATGCATACCTTTACCCCCCCCCCCTTTCCCCCCTCATCCCCCTGGTACAACACCTAGGAGTCAGGACTTTTGGTATTTTAACACCCTAAGCCCCCTGAACAAGTTTCTGAAGGATTTGCTTGGTTACCTGCTCAAGCACTCTACACTCTCACTTTTGGATCATTCATTGACTGGACTATTAGTAGATCTGATGTTGTTTAAAAGGAGAATAAATGTGACCAGGTGAAGGAAAAATAATCCAACCAGACAAATTGGAATTCGCTTAGTCTGCAGGTTTGCTGTGGCAGGGCTGTTTTTTTACATGGTGCAGCGTCAGTGTTTAACCATAGATAAAACATACTCCCTTAGTAGACTTCTCATCCTTATGGAACAGCTGAAGACAATTTTATTGTTAGTTCTGTACGGTTTATGTAGAGGTCGTGTTTTGTTTACAATTTGTTTCCCGTTATTACAGCCATTTAAAACCTCGTTTAACCAAATAATACGATCTAATCAAAAACAATAACTTGTCCCCTAGTTATATAACCAAACAGTAAAGCACAAATCAAGAAATTAGCCCTAAAATAATAGAAACAAAATTTCGTCGACACTAGCGCCCATTCGTCACGTACATGAACTAGACACGAAAAACGTGCTTCAAAATTTACAATGAGATGAGAAGTCTACTTGTGTTGGTTAGTCTATGGTTTAACTCAGTGTAACAAAATATTTTTCTGTTATACTTATCATAAATCCTGTATAGGCTGGTATGGATTCTCTTATGCAAAAAGCTGTGAACATTATTAATGCTAACATTATTGAACAGATGACTTTTTAATACTTTTGATTTTTGACTAGCATTTGAGGACAGCACTGTACATTTAAATTAAAATTCAATAAGATGGGTGTTCTAAATATTTAAATAATTGTAAAATTACAAATAATCTCAGTCACATAACGTTTTTGGCTATCCTGTTTAATCGATGTTTAAGACTGAAGAATCATTTGATACCTTAGGCCTTATTGTAAGAGGTTGCATTTGAGAGGTCAGCATTTGGATGAATATAAATAAAAAGAGAGTTTAAGTACTTACGTGTTATACCGACCACACCTTACCTAACCTGATCGTAAGTGTAGACAGGTTAGGTTAAAACAATGTATTGGTTCGATAGACAATACAATTCAATTAGTATGTGTTATTTAACCGAATAAAATCTTATTCGGAAGCTAATTTATCGGTGCGGTCGGTGTAATACATAAGTACCGGAGTGTCATTTAGAACTTAGCACTACCGTTTTTCTTTTTTCTAGATTTCACTTCTAAAGGTTCAGCGTTGCTTAAAAAAATTAGTTTCCCTATTTTAAACAGAAAATACAGCCGTTTTAATACACTCGGTGCGGGACTGAATCAGTTCTTTTACGTGACGTGGCTTGCGACGTGACTGGTGACGTGGCTGGCGACGTGGCTGGCGACGTGACTGGTGACGTGGCTGGCGACTTGGCTAGGGGCGTGACTGGTTACGTGACTGGTGACGTGGCTGGTGTCGTGGCTAGCGATGTGACTGGTGACGTAGCTGGTGACGTGACTGGTGACGTGGCTGGCTACTTGACTAGGGATGTGACTGGTGACGTGGCTAGTGATGTGACTGGTGACGTAGCTGGTGACGTGACTGGTGACGTGGCTGGCTACTTGACTAGGGATGTGACTGGTGACGTGGCTGGTGACGTGGCTAGTGATGTGACTGGTGACGTAGCTGGTGACGTGACTCGTGAAGTAGCTGGCTACTTGGCTAGGGATGTGACTGGTGACGTGACTCGTGACGTGGCTGGTGACGTGGCTGGCTACTTGACTAGGGATGTGACTGGTGACGTGGCTGGTGACGTGGCTAGTGATGTGACTGGTGACGTAGCTGGTGACGTGACTGGTGACGTGGCTGGCTACTTGACTAGGGATGTGACTGGTGACGTGGCTGGTGACGTGGCTAGTGATGTGACTGGTGACGTAGCTGGTGACGTGACTGGTGACGTGGCTGGTCACTTGACTAGGGATGTGACTGGTGACGTGGCTGGTGACGTGGCTAGTGATGTGACTGGTGACGTAGCTGGTGATGTGACTGGTGACGTGGCTGGCTACTTGACTAGGGATGTGACTGGTTACGTGACTGGTGACGTGGCTAGTGATGTGACTGGTGACGTAGCTGGTGACGTGACTGGTGAAGTAGCTGGCTACTTGGCTAGGGATGTGACTGGTGACGTGGCTGGTGACGTGGCTAGTGATGTGACTGGTGACGTAGCTGGTGACGTGACTGGTGACGTGGCCGGCTACTTGACTAGGGATGTGACTGGTGACGTGGCTGGTGACGTGGCTAGTGATGTGACTGGTGACGTAGCTGGTGACGTGACTGATGAAGTAGCTGGCTACTTGGCTAGGGATGTGACTGGTGACGTGACTCGTGACGTGGCTGGTGACGTGGCTAGTGATGTGACTGGTGACGTAGCTGGTGACGTGACTGGTGACGTGGCTGATTACTTGACTAGGGATGTGACTGGTGACGTGGCTGGTGACGTGGCTAGTGATGTGACTGGTGACGTAGCTGGTGACGTGACTGGTGACGTGGCTGGCTACTTGACTCGGGATGTGACTGGTGACGTGGCTGGTGACGTGGCTAGTGATGTGACTGGTGACGTAGCTGGTGATGTGACTGGTGACGTGGCTGGCTACTTGACTAGGGATGTGACTGGTTACGTGACTGGTGACGTGGCTAGTGATGTGACTGGTGACGTAGCTGGTGACGTGACTGGTGAAGTAGCTGGCTACTTGGCTAGGGATGTGACTGGTGACGTGACTCGTGACGTGGCTGGTGACTTGGCTAGGGGCGTGACTGGCGGCTTATATAGAGTAATATAGAGGCAAAAAACTCTTTGAAAATTCATTTTTAAACAGCGTCATGATAAACCTTACAAAAAGCAAATATTATAAACTCTGCAATCAGACACTAACTATCGCCACTATTATAACTGCATTGCCAATTGAAGGGTTTAAAATTTATTTAAAAAACAACAACTATCATACGTTATTATTTATTCCAAAGTGGCAGATAACTGTGATTAAAGAATGGGATCAATACAAAATTATATAATTTTCTCATAAAATGTTTTTTTTTTTTTTTTGAAGAAGGAAAAGTATATATCGGTTGATGATTTAGACCTTAACTCATGATATTAGATTATGAATCTCGATACAGAGATGTAATTTATGATATTTAATAAACAATAAAAACCACACATAAAACATGTAATTTGTATTTAATCAAATACTTAGAAATTGTGAAAAGGGTAATTAAAGCAAATTAGTTCATACGGATGAAATCTTACCAGAAATGATCCGAAAACCACAGTAAATATTAGTTTCATTTTAAAGGTAGAGCGAGACGCGCACATACATTACGATCTCTGGATGTACAGTACGTAGTTTAGTTGTCTAATTAGTTAGTGGCAAATAATTACTAGGCACCGTTTATCTAACATATGTACGGCTATGTAACCTAAAATCTAGGTATGACGAAGATTAATTTTCGTCATTTTATAAAAGCTGAAATTGATATATGTTACTTGGGGAGCTATCAAAAGACGTTTTCTCAAAAGCCAGACACTTTCGTTGGTTATTTTATCTTGCCAGACACTTTAAAGTCTGCCATGATAAGCTTATCTGTCACCCGCAAACAATGGATTCAGTTCCAGTTTTGAACAGATTTCTTTGCCAAATGTAAACGGTGAAATTACTACTTTCTTCTTCACAATCAGTTTTTATAATAAACCATATGTTTGAGGTAAACATATGTTATATTTGCGGTGGGGCACACGGGAGGGACGATGGCTAACATAGTGTCAGCGTTCGCCGCTAGAATCGCTAAAACTAACTTTTTAATTATGAAACTAAACTGTCATAACCTAACCTAACCAAAAAAACTTGCTGATAATATAAAAAAGATATAAGATAAAAATCAAATAAAGCAAAATCTTTGACAAAAATTTAGTGTCCCCGACGTGTTTCTAACTCGAGACCACCTGCACACTAGTCCGATGCGCTATCATCTATGCCACGACCGCATAGGTCTCGTTATGGTAACCGTGTTGCCTCAAGAGAAGATATTAGCCACTAGAGAGATGACGTCACCACACCTTTAGCCATCGTCCCTCCCGTATTCCCATTCGGTTATATTTGCATTTAATAGTTTGTTTATTCCTTCAGTGTTTTGAAAATACGTAATTATGTTCTAAGACCTTGGGAGATAATTTAACTCGTTTTTTTAGTGAAAAAGTAAGAAATAAATTACGATTTAGTTACAAAATAATTGTGATAATTTGTAATCTGGGTTCGTTAGTAACACATCGTAATGTTGTTAATTTACATCATATAGTTCGGCCGCTTAGAAAGCGACCTCCTCCAGCATTGGTTTAGCATTAGCGCGCAGGTCGTTTTCTAAGCGGCCGAACTATAGTATAAAGGCTGAATTTGATATATGTTACTTGGGAAGCTATGATGAGACGTCCAGACACTTCCGGTGGTTATTTTATCTTGCCAGACTATTTTTTTTACACAAGCTTTACGAGTCAAAGGAAGGAATGAAGCTTGAAACCTCCTGTCTACTACTAGCTTTCCTAGAGAAGCTTAACTTAGTTGTTTAACATGGAATGAACCAAAACTCTCATGTGTCCGAAGCAAGGCTACATTTTGTAATTAAATACATTTGAGCAACCTAACTATCCCTACAAGATACAGTTTGATTTACTCATTGATGCAATGTTTGAGTTAATTCATCTCGTAAATATTAGATGAATTAATATTTAATGTGCTTTGCTTAAAGATTTGTTTAAATTACCAGAGTAGCTGAAAAACTATGAATTTTACATTTAACAGAAATGTTTATAGTTTTGCTATTTTGTACATTCTGTATTTGAAAATGAGTAAGTCATAAAGTATGTATGCGCACTGGTCTATAGTTTGCGAAGAGTGGAGTTCGTAACGATAAAATATGGAATAAAGATTAACTCATAAGTTTAGTTCACATTTAATTCAAAGGTTTAATTGACGCGAAGATTAAATGTATATGATACATTAATCCGTATCAAACATTCTAAAAATGTCTAACAAAAAGCTATAAACCCTTAAAATGGATCAATTATAGCATAATGTTTATATTATTATTAATGTTAATATTATTTTGTGGCTTTACTAAATCCGTCTCAATATTTCTGAACCTTAGTGATAAAGTGTCAGACCTCTAACATTCAATAGAATTTAACGTTGCTGCGAAAAGCAGATCAAGAAGGTAAAGTGTTACTGCGTCAATTTATCCCTTACTTTGATATGAACATATCTTCCAGTTAAGGTTTTATTAAAGGGTTCGTGTTTAATTAAAGACCTAACATTATTAATGCTTAAATTTAAATACTATAGAGTTTTGTTCAAATTGTTTGTCGTATGATTCTAACTAGTTTGATTATTTAGTTAATACACGAGGCTTAGTTTTAATGATAGTTTGAAATTAGTTTAGTTGTAAAGTATATCCTTATGTTCAGAAATTCACAGATATTTTGTTGGTTATTCCGTGCTATACACCAACAGCAAAAATAATAGTTCTGTTAAAACCCTTAAAAAATCTTGCACTTGAAACTCAAATATGTATAATTTTACTCATGTTTTGAACGTTACTTTTCGCTACACTAAAAAGATGTAACTTTTTTATCAAAACAGAGTCATTGGTTATTTCTTTATTACAGTTCGAAACATTACAAAACTCATAGAATTTATTTATATTTATTATTTACATTGATTGTACAGTTTTAGTTGTTGAAAATTTTATCATTTGACAAAAAAATTAAAAATCGTTGTTTATTTACGTCGGCAAAATCCAAAAGTGATAAAAAAACATAGCTTGTGCATAGCAAATATTATTTTTGTGTAGTAAACAATGTAACTATTGCAGGTGATCATAGGACGAAAAAAGGTTATTTCACAATAGTGTAGCGAAAGTATGTTTATTAGTTGTCAATGTTTTTTTTAGTATTTATTTACTAATTTTAATTTGTATACGTATATTTTGACATTTTACTCTACCTACGATTAAGTAATTTGGTGATAAAGTAGTTCGAATGTAACAAAATGTTTGGCCATCTTCCAGACATCAGACCCCGACACTGTCACTAAGATTGATTCAGTAAACTTCCTCTGGGAAGGGGTTTCGTTTTTTACCACATATAAACAAACTATATGGTTAAAATAAACTCTAAAAAGTCACTATGTATTATTTTAAAGGAATGCGACGGACATTGCAAACAATTTCTTTTATACAATTTCTTAAACGATAAAAAAAGAGATTTTACATTAAATTACATATAGACATTTATTAAAATACTGGTTTTTCTGGGTATTATAAATTAAAATAAAATACAATTCAAATCGAACGGCATCAGTTTGAAGCTGATACAAAATAATTTACTACAATCAAACCTAAACTACTTACTAGTGAATTTTAACTAAAATTAAACTTAAAAAGCATCAAATGTTTCTCTTATTACAGTAAGTTAATAATTAGAATTTACTTTGAATGGGAGGTCTATAGACAATTAATTGCGAAACTTAGTGGACTTATAGACTTTTAGCGGAGGGTTTCGCTTATAACTGTGCACATGACAATGTGGTAGGCCCACTATCAATATTTTGTATTGTGTATATCTACGCATGTGGAGTTTTTAAAGTTTTTTTTTTAGTAAGGAAACGGTCCAACCCCTGGTATTGTCATTGTATAACGTCCACCTAATGTTAGATATCGCAATTAATAGTCAAATGACAAATGGCATCTAGGTCCAGTTCAGATCTCGTGGAATTTAACCGGTGACCTCTATGAAGTGTTTGTTAACTCCTTGTACGGCCTGAAGACGGTGTAAGTTATGAATGGAAACTATTTGTCACCATACACAACAAGTTATTTATATATTTTAACTTCATATATTCTGTAAATGTATATAGACCATTATAGTTCTAAATATACAACACGCTACTTTTTGGATACAATATAAAACTAAATTGATCAACCAGTGTTATTTTATTTAAGTAGTAGGTTTTAACGTTCCTATAAATATTTTACGTGATAAATCCACCTTTGATTTTGGAAATAATTTATTTGACTAACAGCTTTTTAGCACTTAAAACAATGAAAACTTTTATATTATTTCTAAGCAATTATAAACTATTCATTTGTTGGTTGATGGGAGCAGAACATAGTATAAAAGTCTGTAGTATAAAAGTATAAAAGTCCATTGATATCACCCGACGTTGTAAGTATTTGATATGATCCAAAACATGCAGCAACTATCTGTCGGTTTTAAGTAGAACTCATAAAAGCTTAACGTTACCGCTTTAATTAGCCAGTCTTTTTTTAATAACCCCATTGTAAAGTAGTTTTAGTGGGAAAGAATTGTTAGGGATTTTGTAAATGAGACAATTTATGACATGTTAACACCGAAAACTAATTTTATAACTGTCAAAAGTTTATATTTAATCCTTTGATTTTTACAGAACATAATTAAATTACTAATAGTAATTATAATTAGGCACATTACTAAATACTCTTACTGCAATAAAACTTTATGATAATTCACGTTTAGTGTTTATAACCTTGAACATTAGACACACAAATAATATATTACTTTTTTTAAGAGCTAACCGATATACACATGATAAATTAATCATTACCCTTTGGTATTCAATATACATTTAAAACCATCAAACATTAGAAGGTTCCTAAAAAATCGGATTATATCTTGTAGTATTGTTTATGCGAATATGTTAGACGAA